ATATATATATATAAATATATATATGTATATATATATATATATATATGTATATATATATATATATATATATATATATATATATATATATATATATATATATATATATATATATGTATATATATATATATATATATATATATATATATATATATATATATATATATATATATATATATATATATATATATATATATATATATATATATATATATATATATATATATATATATATATATATATATATATATATATATATATATATATATATATATATATATATATATATATATATATATATATATATATATATATATATATATATATATATATATATATATATATATATATATATATATATATATATATATATATATATATATATATATATATATATATATATATATATATATATATATATATATATATATATATATATATATATATATATATATATATATATATATATATATATATATATATATATATATATATATATATATATATATATATATATATATATATATATATATATATATATATATATATATATATATATATATATGTATATATATATGATGAAACAAATATAATATATATTAGCTAACATTTTTATTTATAATAATATTCATAAAATATGTATTTGTTATTATTTAGCTAATATAGTTTATATTTAATATATAGTTGTTTCTCATTTATTGTTGCAATATTTTTACATATTATCACATTAAGCTCTCGTTTCATTCCCCTATTCCTCCGCGCCGCGGCATTAACTTAATGTGTTTACATATTATCTTGGTTTCACATGGAATTAAGAGTCACAATGTAACATGTTTGATATTACTTCAGATTTTGTAGGCATCCATCAGCAGCACATTACTAAAAGTCCATTTATTTACTTTCTTGCTCATGTGATCTCTTGCTGAACGCTTAAAGATTAAATCCAGCCTGGTAAAAGAAATGTCAAATGTCATTATAAATGGCAGAATCATGAAGGCAGTTCAGAGGAGCTTACATAACACACCTGCGTTGGCCTGTACGTGTGTGTGTGTGTGTGTGTGTGTGTGTGTGTGTGTGTGTGTGTGTGTGTGTGTGTGTGTGTGTGTGTGTGTGTGTGTGCGTGTGCGTGTGCGTGTGTGTGTGTGTATGTGTCTCTTGTTTTTGGTGGACTCTCCCCTCAGTCATTCCTCAACACAGCTGCTGCTTTCCCAAATAAGGCTCTCAGTTTCAACAACAGCACTCTTCTGGGTTACGTTTTTCACTTCAGAGGAAAACAGTATGAGGCAATCTTGATAAGCTTTCTTGAACATGTGCACAGACACATGCATGTACAGTAAAGCCAATGAAAACATGAGGCACATAATAATAATTGATAGAAGTATGCTAGTCTCCACCGAGGGCTATTCTCTTTTTACTCTGTTTGGTAATTGTACAATACGTTTTTACATGCAACATCTCAGATTTGTTGGAGGAAAGGTCAAGATCCCATAATGCAAAAGCATGAATAAAGGAGAAATAAACCATGAATAATGTGTTATTACCAGAGATGAGTTCAAATACTTTGTTACTGTGCTTAAGTAGATTTCTCTGGTATCAGTACTTTACTCTGCTACAAACTTTTTGACAATTTTTACTTTTACTCCTTACATTTTTACACAAATATCTGTACCTTCTACTCTTTACATTTTTTAAACAGCGGTTGTTACTTTCGTTCATGTGTTTGGTGGCACGATCTATATAACTTCTTGTCATTGTGTGATATTAAGTCTTTTTTTTTCTCACTGTGCGCCTGCGTGCAGGCTATCCCTCACCGTACATGAGCTAGTTTATGAAGATTACTATGAGAAATGCTAGGATAACTACGCAGATGTGACAGAGGGAGAAGGCGAATTTTACATGACTGATGCTGCCCTGTTTACACGCTAATAAGAAACCTTTTGCTTGTTCGGATCACAGGTATTGTGAGGTATCAGGTTGTGGTATTGCTCAGATGACACGTCAAACGGACACGGGTGCTCCTGCCAAATTTCCACTAGTTTTTCCTCCATTTCTTGGGTGTAAATAGACCTTAAAAGAAGCCGTTTTAACTTCTCCCCAACCTCCCGCTGGCCTGCAAATACCCATATTAGCGGATGTTGCTCTGTCATTGGCTGTAGGTGATAGCTGATGTTATTTTCAATCAGAACACATTTCAAACGATTTTGAATCAAAACGTGAAATACTTACGTTTCCTTGTGAGATCAGACTGTCACACTGCATGACTGTATAATAGAAAGATTCACTGACAACTTTATCTCAGTCCACAAACTACTACTCACAACCAAACACACGCGAAAAAGTGACATGGAAACAACGTGATGTCACATCGTATATCTTTTGCTATTGACTACATAATAAGAAAGAAGCATTTAGTGAGGTAGAAAATGTGCTTATTTTGCTCACAGTTTGAAGAGAATTAGTCATTTTTCTGAAACGTTTTTCTTTTTCGACCTGGTTGTGGTATTGCTCAGATGACACGTCAAACAGACACGGGTGCTCCTGCCAAATTTCCACTAGTTTTTCCTCCATTTCTTGGGTTTAAATAGACCTTAAAAGAAGCCCTTTTAATTTCTCCCCATCCTCCCACTGGCCTGCAGGTATACACACACACACACACACAAGTGGATGCTGCTCTCTCATTGGCTGTTGGTGCATTTCACACGATTTTGAATGGCCGACAGCTTCAGATATTTAACATGCCAAATATCTGACGGGTGTCGATGACTCATCTACAATTCTCTCAGATCGCATCTTTGGTAGTTCACATTGTGATTGTTACTCACGTGAACGAGCACCGATTTGCCTGTGATTTCAGGCATTTGTCTGCGATTTCTCTCTTTTTTTTGTTAGCGAATCAAAATCGGGGTTAAAATAATGCAGTCTGAACTTGATATTAGGGTAATTAGGAAAGTCATTGAATAACGATGGTTTGTTCTGCAGACAATCGGGGAAAAAAATGCTTAAGGGGGCTAATAATATTGACCATAAAATGTTTTTTTTTTTTTTTTATAAAACAATTAAGACTTTTTCTGAAAAGAAATAATGTAGGAAATACTGTGAACAATTATTTTCCCTGTTAAACATAATTTGGAAAATAGTTGTTAAAGAAAAACCCACAGGAGCGCTCATAATTTTGACTTCAACTGTATGTGTTTTACACTGTTGTAAACAATAAGCGCACACTTATTATAAGTTGCTTTATCAAAGCATAAGGCCAAAAAGCGTCTGCTAAATGCACTCATATGATCACCTCTCTATAATATTCCTTGTTTTCTTCCTCCCGCAGCCTGAAGAGTTTGAAGCCGTTCATTCGCACACCTTCCGGCTGAAGACGTTCAAGAAGGGGAAACACTGTGGTGTTTGCAAGCAGACGGTCAACAATGAGGGGCTCATCTGCAGAGGTCAGTCCAGAGCCTGAGGGCTATCATCTGTTAATGTTTATGATGGCCACATCTGCTCACAGTGACCAGTCAGTCCTCTCTCATCTAATGAAACATAATCATTAACTCCATTAGACTGCTAAGGGGGAGCGTGTGATGTTATGCTGATGGTACACAGGGGATCTTTTTTGAGCAATGTTTCTGGGCAACTTTGGGGAATGATGCCATAAATGGGCAACCAGGTGAGATACGGGGAAACTAATTGGGGCAGTGGGTTAAAGATACAATGGTGTTCAGTTCTTAATAGAGAGGTAGCCAAGCAAGAGCAGCCAAAGTCCGGAGACTTGAGGACAGACAGCAAAACTTTGTGTAATGAAATTCCACAAATAATACAGTTGACATCAAAATAATTATTCTTTTTCAAATATCTCTTAAATGATGTTTAACAAGAGCATTTTCAGAGTATTTCCTATAATATTTTTACTTTTGGGGAAAGTCTGTTTGGACCAGAGTAGAAATGTTAATAACATACAAAGTGTGAAGCTGTTTGATCAGTTCTTTTTAGATTTCTGATCGAGTTATGTCAGATTTATTAATGTAGTGAATCATTTGATTTTCATTGAGCAGGTGTAATATTCATTAATATTAATTATTCGAATTCTTATATTCACTAAGGTGCTGCTGTTTGAAGTCGAATGATAGTTACGTCATCAGTAACCTGCAGGCTGCATTTTGCTAACGGGGCTGCAAGAAAATAAATAAAAAGAGCGGAGCTGCGGCAAAATAATGAATAAAAAGAGTGAGGCTATGGTCAAATAAATGAATGAATAAACAAATAAATAAATTAATTAAAAAAGTGCGACTGCTGAGCGTGCAAGCAGCTAGAGACACCGGCCCTTACGGCCAAAAAACAGACCGGCCCACCGGGAATTCTCATGGTCCTCATGATTAGCCAATCCGGGCCAGGGGTGTGTTTCCCAAACAACGAGGTTACTCACGCCTGAACTATCATAGTCTGATGCATCATTTGGGAAAAAAACGATGTAGTGACGAGTGTTTCCCAAAGCGCATAGTTTCTCTATCACAGATCCATCGCTTAAACCATGTTAGTTATAACGTAAAACGCCCATTATAACGCTCTAAATGGGGCGGAGGAACTACTTCTTTGGAGAAAAACCCCATCATTTCTTTGTGCAAATTATATTGTTTTACACAAACAGGCATTTAAAAGATAAATACAATGTTAGTTTTGGTAAAAACATGCACTCGCTTTCCATATTAACCGAATTATATGCAAATGCCACATATAGAGCCTGCGTTTCCTTTACAAATATTATTGAGAATATCCTGTTTTAAAACAAATCACTTACAAAAGCTAAAACATAATCTAATATCATATATAAATCATAGGAATCAATAAATAATAAGGCTATTTATTATAAAATTAAATTTAATATTACAAATTAGGAAATGAAAGAAATCCTAAGTTTATAATAATATTAATAATACTAATGATGATCATGATGAGGATGATGATGATAATAATAATAATAATAATAATAATAATAATAATAATAATAATAATACTACTACTACTAATAATAATAATGATAATAATAATAACAATAATAATAATAGTAATAATAATAAAAATTGTTATTATTATTATTATTATTATTATTATGAAGTAGTTTATTTACTTTTTATTTTTTGAAAAGTGTACTTTTACAATTTGACGCATGCAAACCACACCAGACATGTTCTAACCAGCAGGCCCATGTCAACAGTACAGATACTTAATAAATAACCCTCTATAGATTAAAAGAATTAGCATATGCTTTTTGTTTTTCACAAGCTTTGGAGACGTAACGTAAATTCCGCTTTCAAATAAAAGGTCACCTATAACTTTGACTGGAGGATGTGTTCAAAATGACATCAATGTTTTCAAAGTGCACTGCGAAGGGAGCACAACTGTAAACATGAAGATCACTAAAACTTAATTGTAAAAATTGTTTAAAAGCAAATTACACCTAAGAGAGATGACCTTAATGCTTTTTTATTTTTAATAATTCCAACTTTGAATGTTAAAATGTTCTAAATGGATAGAGCATAGGGGGGATAAGTGGGAATAGAACACAGCCAGGAATTATATTTCAAACTACAGTTCCAAAGGTGTAGTTGTGAGTGCAAGTTGCGAGAGGTGTAGTTGTAGGTGTAGTTTGCGACACAGTTTGCGAATGTTCGTTGGAGCGACGGATTTGGGAAACGGCAAATCAACAAACTATGATTGTAACATCGGAACTTGCAACCTTAGTTGGCTAACGATGGTTTTGGGAAACGCACCCCTGGATGGTAGTATGAAGCAGAGTAAAGCTGAAAAAATTGAAAGAGAAACAAGAGCACTGAAGTAATTGCTGATGAGAGACGTTTTTGCCACTAGAGGGCGTGTATTCATAACAAACAAAGGCATATTTTCTCGACATTGTGACTGATATATTTTTTCCAATAGTCTACAGAAAAAACACTGTTATACAATGACTTGCCTAATTACCCTAACCTGCCTAGTTAACCTAATTAACCTCTTAGTTAAGCCTTTAAATGTCACTTTAAGCGGTATAGAAGTGTCTTGAAAAATATCTAGTCAAATATATTGTACTGTCATCATGGCAAAGATAAACATGAATAAGTTATTAGAAATTAGTTATACAACGATTATGTCTAGAAATGTGTTGTAAATGTGTTCTCTCCATTAAACAGAAAAAAATACTGAAGGATGAAAATTAAACAGGAGGGCTAATAGTTCCGACTTTAACATTGTAACTCATGTACTCATGTACTTATGTAGGTGCAGGGAAAAAAACAGTGTTGGAATAAATTACATATAGGGAGGATCAGCTCTGCATTGTAGATGACATCAGTGCATCTGTGACTGGAGGGAAACAGAAGGTTTTCATTATGGCGGGACGGCTGAGGCGGATGTTCACCTGCTTTGAATCCGGCTGTGGTAAAGATTCAGTCGGAAAGGAATGTCCATCATGGGAGGTCTGAACGTTAAACACTGATGTTTTTATTGTTTCGTTTTAAGCCATGAGTGGAGTCATCATCAGATGCAGGCAAATTAGATGGTCGACTAGGGCCAAACCTTACAGTATATATACTGCTGCGGGACACATGCAGATAAAGATAGACTGAGGAATGTTGGTGAACAAACTATTTCCAATGGATTTCCATTGTATGGTAAAAATAAAAATGTAAGTCCATGGGACTAAGTCTGAACTGTATAGTCACAGCATGCTTCAAAATTGAAATGTTTGTTTATTTACTGTTTTGAATTGTGCTATGGGACCTCGATTTATGCAACTTTTGGTGATTTATGTCTATACATATTTTGAAAAATATCTAGTCAAATATTATTTACTGTCATCATAGCAAAGATAAAATAAATCAGTTATTAGAAATAAGTTATTAAAACTATTATGTTCAGAAATGTGTTGAAAAAATATTTTCTTTCTTAAACAGAAATTGACTTCTGACTTCAATTCTGACTGCTAAAACACTTACTTTGTTAAACTGCAGTTACATTTTTGACATCAAACATTGTCAGGGCAGAAATTAAGTTTTCATACGACAATACTGCTGCATAAATAAACTGAAAAGACCTGTGATTTTTTTTACTGTATTTTTTGTTTTTTTTAAATTGTTTAATTTTGCATATTTTTTTAAGTTTCTATTTTAAATAGTACGTTTTAATTTTATAATTCTAATTAAATAAATGTAATTATTTTTGTACTTTTTTTTCAATTTTTTCAATTTTACTTTTTTCTTTTATTTTATTTTATTTCAATTTTAAAATTCATTTTCAAATTTTGTATGTTTAATTTAAATACATTTTATTTTATTTTAAAATTATTTTTATATTTATTTTTTGAATTCGACTTTAATTTTAAATTTCACCTTTTTAAGCTATAATTTGTACATTAAATTAAATTAAATATAATTTATACAATAATTTTTAATAGCGTTTTTAAATGTTATTTTTTATTTTAAATTGTACTTTTTAATTTTGATATTTTAATTTCAATTATTTATCAATTGCTTTATTTACAATTCATTCTAATTTTACTTTTAATTTTTATTTTTTTATTAATTACATAATGTTTAATTTTTAAATTAAGTTTTTATTTTCAAATTTTTATTTGACTTTAATTTTTTGTTTTATTTTATTTTATTCTCCCATTAACATATCATTATCAAATAACTGAGTCATACAGAGTCAAAGGTCATGGTAAACAATATTCTGTCCTACAACTTTGAAAGCTGCATTGATTTAGTTTGACAGGATTATGGCAAAGCTAGTCTCTATTTCTCCTTCAGACTGCTTTATTATCATCTGTTGCATAAAGCCAAACATTGCCAGCAGAATCTCCGGTATCAGCAAAGAGATGTGCAAATCAGCTGTTGCCAAGCACTGGCACAATCAGAGACATGTGATGCTCACTGACTGCGCAAACCTCACATTCACATCCAGAACCAGTTTGGCAAAAGACAGGCTACATTTCATGTTCAATACACATTCATGTTTGCATTTAACTGAAATAGCTCTAATAGCACAATAGCTCTACTTTAATTTTTAGTAGAGATTCATTGAAATGACTGAAATTTGTTCAAACACAAAGGCTTTGTATTTGTCATGCATTTAAGTGTTGCACTTTAAGATCTCTCACTATGTTTCAATATATATATACAGTTTACAGTTACAGTTTTGACAGAAGTCAAAATTATTAGCCCTCCTGTGATTTTCTTTTTTAAAATATTTCTTAAACAATGTTTAACAGAGCAAGGCATTTTTTTCACAGTATTTCCTGTAATATTTAAGAGCATTCCTTAAATCGTCTTAAAAAATTCAAAAACTGCTTTTATTCTAGCCAAAATAAAACAAATAAGACTTTCTCCAGAAGAAAAAATAGGAAACTGTGAACAATTCCTTGCTCTGTTAAACATCATTTGGGAAATATTTAAAT